TGTCTTGAATCAAAGATTGAAGATGAGAGGAAAAATCGAAAATGGAAGGAGAAATCGGAGATGAGGGGAAAGGTGAAAGCTTGGATGAGATTTGCTGGTTCTAAGGAGAAGAAAAAGAAGATTTGCCGGCAGGAATGGTTGAAGCAGAGGGAAAGGAATCTGTTTTGGGGAAAGAAATAACAGTGAAGAAACATAACAAAACGCTATCTTCTGAGTTCAATTTCAAGAAAAACCAAAACATTGATTCACTTTCAAAATACAGTATGAGGAGAAAAAATAGAGAAAGAATTAGGGATTTTACCTGTAGTGATACCTTGCAGACGAAAGAAGGATTACAGTGATGATGAAGAGAGCAGATGGTTTGATGCTGTGTAACTTGCAGAAATAGAAGACCAGAGACAGAATCAAAATCCATAGGAAGAGTCGAAAAGGAAAAAAAAAAAGAGAGAGAGACAGGATCCATAACAACTTACCAGATTCTAACAGCATGAAGAGGAGTCAAAACCCATATGGAGAGAGAAAAAAACAGGAGATCTAGGCTTTGATTTTAGATTTTTGGTGATGCACGGTAGAGATGTGGCTGAATCTAAAATAGATTGGTGTTAGAGATGGATGATGGAGAGAGTTCACAACAAAGAAAGGATGAGATCTTGGCCGACTGTGAAAGGGGATGAATGAGGAGAGAAAGTGAGAAAAATGAAAGTGAAAGTGAAATGAGAAGAAAATACTAGAGAATAATGATGAGTCCATTTGAAACTTTCTAAAAGGGGTGGAGGGAAAGGTTTTGACGGAGAATCGAAGGATGGAGGAGGCGAGGAGATGAAAATTTTTAGGAGAGGCTGAGAGGGAATGAACGAAATTTCTCAAATTAGGGTTTGTGCTGAATGGAGATGTAATATGTTTTATATTTGCTTAAAAAATAATGTGGGTTTTCGGTTGTGCTATTCGATTGTTCGGTTTTTGAGTCTACAACCGAAAACCACACCTCTTAAAAACGGTTGAGGCCCGAAACCGCTACTTGGGCCCGAAGGCCGTTCATGCCCGCACCGCAAGCCCAACTTTGGTGCGGTTTTCGGGCAACCGATCGGTTGCCCGCGTGCGCGCCCAGCCCTACGTACAACTGTGAATTCTTTTCGAGTGCAATTTTTTTAATAAAAGACAAAAGTAACTTTGTACAAATATTTTTACTATACCGTAGAGAGTAGGGGAATGTGACCGGGGGTGTTGAATATCAAATCAGAGACGATGGAGCGGATATGCTTGGATTTTGATTATAAT